CCTTTTTTCCCTCAAGATAGATCACCTTGTAAACAGGGAAGATGAAATAGGAATTTTAAAGCCATTTTCATCATCCTCTATTTTCTTACAGCAAACTCTCTGATACCCAGAATAAAATATTCTGAAGTTCTCTCTAGACAGAGATCAAATGGAATGGAATACGGTCTCCTCTTTGAATGGGGGGGTTGGACTAGAAGATTTCCAAGGTCCCTTCCAACTCTGTTATCCTCCTCATCCTCCCCCCTGCCCCCTCCTCCTCCTTTTTTAAGAAGGGACTGGACAACCATTTGTCTGGAATGGTATAAGGCAGTGGTGGCGAACCTATGGCACGGGTGCCAGAGGCGGCACTTAGAGCCCTCTCTGTGGGCACGCACGCCATCACCCCTGTCCTAGGCCTTCAGCTGGGTTTTATAAAACCTTTTTACTTTAGGCCTCCGCTACTGTGTGCAAAAAAAAAAAAAAAGGTTCAATCAATCAGTCAATTTCAACTTCTCTTGGAAAAAAAAATCTTGCAAAGTTAGAATTGATTGATAGAACTTTTTAGTCCCAACCAGTCTGCCATTACTACACAGCCACACCCAGCCAATGGGCCACGCCCATCCAATAGGCCACACCCACCCAGCACCCGACGATGCATAAGTGGGTTTTGGGTTGCAATTTGGGCACTCAGTCTCTAAAAGGTTCACCATCACTTGTATAAGGTCTGCTGCCTGAGCAGGGGGATGGACTAGAGACTTCCAAAATAAGAAAATATACAATTATACATATTTTATTCCCGAAAATACCTCTTCCAGATGTGTAGACAGTTGGATTTTGGGACAGCATTGCCTCCAGAATCAAAACTGAGGAGAGGACACATCAACCTCATTTTCCAAGGAGTTTCATTCAGAGCGCATATTTCCCCAATGTGTCTTTGGCCGTTTGAATATTTAGGATTATCCTAAAGTTCCATTTCCATCCTTCCACCATGATACTAAAAGACTACATTCCATTCCAGTGAAGCCAAATCACCTTATAAATAGGGACAGGATACTTGGATTTTTTGTTGTTGTTGTTTTCTTACAACACACTTTTTGAAACCCAGAATAAAACATCCTGACGTTCTCATTAGAAATCAATCAATCTTCATTGACTAATCCAGGATCTGGAACTCAGTCAAGTTGAAGAACTGCTCTGAAGAAAAGAAGGTTCTTGTTTGGCTTCAGATTCACTTCCTCTCACTGTGGCTTTCGCACAATAATAGACTGCCGTGTCTTCAGCTTTAAGACTGTTCATTTGCAGATACAGCTGGCTTTTGGCCTCATCCCTGGAGATGGTGAAGCGACCCTTCACTTTGTCTGAGTAGTAAGTGATAGATGTACCCATGTGTGCAACCCATTCCAGTCCTTTCCCTGGAACCTGTCTGCCCCAGCTCATGGCAAAGCTGCTGAAAGTGAATCCAGAGGCTTGGCAGGAGAGACGGAGGGACCCTCCAGGTCTTCGCACATCCCCTCCAGACTCCACCA